GGGGGTTACCATTGAGCAGAAACTGAACTGGGACCCGGCCCCATATCAATGCAGTGGCTACAAGGAGCAGGTCACAGGCTAGGAATCCTGCAGCGAGTAACTCCCCTCCTGACTCTCCCACCCACCGACAGTGCGTCCCCCCATTGACAAGGCAGGAGGATGAGGGAACACTCCCCACTTGCCCCTGGAAAGGGGCAGCTCCGACAACACTTGAGAAGCTCGACACCGTCCAGGACAGAGCAGCCCCCCGCTTGATTGGCACCACATTCACAAACGTCCCATTTCCTCCACCACCGACGCTCAGTCGCAGCAGTGTGTACCATCTACAAGACGCACTGCAGAAACTCACCAAAGATCCTCAGGCAGCACCTTCCAATTCCACGACCACTTCCATCTAGAAGGACAAGGGGCAGCAGGTACATGGGAACACCACCCCCTGCAAGTTTCCCTCCAAACCACTCACCGTCCTGAGTTGGAAATACATTGGCCATACCTTCAGTGTCGCTGGGTCAAAATCCTGGAATTCCCTCCCTTAAGGGCACTGTGGGTCCTACAGCACATGGACTGCAGCGGTTCAAGAAGGCAGTTCACCCCCACCTTCTCAAGGGAGGAACTAGGGACGGGTCCAGCATTTAACAAGAAAACAGTTCTGCCCCTGTACCGGGACTGCTGGTCGGTTGGGGGTGGGGGTGGGGGCGGTCTGGGACATGGGAGAATGGTCTATCCTATCGCGTCTCTGGGTTCATAGCCCCTCGGCTCTTCACCCCTGCCGACTGCTTGCCTCCTATCCCCGCAGCTGCTCCATACTGGGTGAAGAAGCCAGAGGATGGGATTTACGGGCCCGGGGAGAATGTGCGGCTGGACTGCGACATCGACGCCAAGCCCAAAGCAGAGATCCGCTGGAGAGTCAATGGAGTTCTGCTGAGCGGTGAGTAAAGTGCCTGCTGCCAGCCGGGAAGGTGGGGCAGTGCACTGGGCTCAGGGGCGGAGGCATTGGTCAGCCAGGCTGCGGCCCTGTTTCACTCCTTCGGCCGTGTCATAGCGTTGTACAGTATGATCCAACCTGTCCCAAATCAATCCAGTCCCGTTTCCCAGCATTTGGCTCCTGTCCCTCTAAACCCTTCCTATTCACGTCCCCATCCAGATGCCTTTTAAATGTTGTCATTGTACCAGCCCCCACCCACTTCCTCTGGCAGCTCGTTCCACACACGCACCACCCTCTGGCGTGAAAAAGTTGCCCCTCAGGTCCCTTTCCCCTCTCACCTTAAACCTATGCCCCTCTAGATTTAGACTCCCTCACCCCTGGGGGGAAAAAGACCTTGTCTATTCACCCTATCCATGCTCCTCGTGGTTTTATCAATAAGGTCACCCCCCACCCCCCGCTCAGCCTCCGATGCTCCAGGGAAAATAATCCCCAGCCTCTCCCAACAGCTCAAGCCCTCCAATCCTGGCAACATCCTTGTAAATCTTTTCTGCACCCCTTTCCAGTTTAATAGCATCTTTCCTTTAGCGGGGAGACCAGAATCGAACCCAGTGTCATTGCAGAAGTGGGTTGACCAATGGCCTGTACAGCCACAACATGACCTTCCCAACTCCTGCACTCAATGCACTGACCAATAAACGCAAAGCGTACCAAACGCTACCTTCAACATGAAGCCTGAGGATGAGTCACTGGACCCGAAATGTTGACGCTGATTTCTCTCCACTGAGTATTTCCAATCATTCATGTTTTTGTGCCTTCTTCACCGCCCTGTCTACCTGCGACTCCATTTTCAAGGAGCAATGAACCTGCACCCCAAGGTCTCTCTGTTCAGGAACACTCCCCCAGGACCTTCCCATTAAGGTGCATAAGTCCTGCCCTGATGTGCCTTTCACAAAATGCAGCACCTCACATTTATCTGAATTAAACTCCATCTGCTGTTCCTCATCCCATCTGATCCAGGTCCTGTTGTGCTCTGAGATAATCTTCTTCACCGTCCACTGCACCAGCCCGTTTTGGTACTGACTGCTAACTTGCCGGCCATACTTTCCTATATGCAGATTGGAATCGCTTCTATAAATCTTCTTTCCCTTTGCAGAAGTTGATCCGAGCCCTTCCAGGAAGGAGCTGGGACACACTGTGATCCTGAGCAGTGTTCAGAAAGAGGACACAGCGATATACCAGTGTGAAGCTAAGAACAAACACGGCACTCTCCTGGCGAACATCATCGTCCAGGTCATCAGTAAGTTTGGGGGTGCGGTGGGGGGTGGGGATGCGCAGGGAGGAGGAGAGGGCGCAGCCCCTTTCCAAATGGGTCTGCCCCTCCTACAACCATCTCCCCCCTTTCTCATCATCATTGGTGGCCCCTCACAGACAGGGGTGACTCTCTTCCACTCTCAGGGTGAGTCGGTAGGTGGCCTGATGTAGCTGCCGCGGGCTCTGTTACACTCGGGGGCAGGCGGTGGGTGATGGGAACGGGTAGGTGCGGCAGCGTGTTCCATTCGCAGTTATCGTCCGGCTTCCGCGTTCCCCCCCACCGCCGACAGCAAGTCTCAAGGAGCTCGAAGCCTCCTCTGCCTCATACAGTCTTGGGGGTGGGGGGGAGGGCGATTCCCGGGCGTCGGTGGGAATGCCGCAGATTGCCAGGTATCCCTAAAGCGCTCCCTCTGCCCACCTGGGTCTCGCCTGCCTTTTCGAAGCTTGGGGGTTGGGGGGGAGCACGTGCTGGGGGAGCGATGTGTCGGTCACGCGGACAATGTGCCCAACCCCACCATGGTTGGGGTCAGCGCTGGGGATGTTGGCCCGGTCGAGGACGCTGGGTCTTCCCAGCAGATTGTGACGATGCTCCCACTTTAAAAGGTTATTTTTTCCTAGTTTTTTCGAAGAAGGGTTGTAAGGCGGAGGTGTCCAACTGTCTACTGAAGACGGCTTAAGTAAACATCCTGAGGCCTTTAGCTTTTTTTTGCAAGTGAGAACAGTGGAAGCAGCTTGGTTGTGGCTATCTCCTACAGACTAGGCTTTCCAGTTTGTTAAGTTTTTAGGTTGAGTTTTAATCGGAAGCTGTTTGGGGTCTCGAAAGCTTGGAATGTCTGTTGGTTGCAATTGTCTCTGAACTTTCTGCTGATGTTTTTTCCTCCTGGATTGGAGAACTGCATGTGAGAATCTGTGTCTGACTTTGCCGAGGGGTGTGTTTGTGGGACGTTACTATATTGGAGCAGTTAATTAGTAATAGTATGTAATAGTAATAATAATAATAACTAATAATAAATTAGTAATAGTAGTGTACCTGTTATTCGGTTAAGTTTTCCAGTAGTTGTTACTCTAAATTCCTCTTTCTTTTGTTTCTATTTTAACTGCCGTGTGTAAATTCAGTTGTGTTTTGCTTAACGTTGAATAGTTTGACTAGTCGCATTACATCTGGAACACGGAACTTCATATATACCTCTAAATTGAGAAAAAGTTGGGGTCCAGGCCACCATGTTAAAATATTTTGAGGGGGGGTCTGGTCTGGTCTGGTCTGGTCCATAACAGAGTCTTTCCACAGAGACTGTTTCTCTCGTTCTCGATCACCCAGGGCCTATGTAACTTCAGAGATAGTAGGAACTGCAGACGCTGGAG